GGCATGACATTCCTGCTGAAAGATGCATCCGTCTGATTCACTCGATGCCAAGAAGATGTGCCGAAGTGATGAAGATGGACGGTTATGCCACATCGTACTGATCGCAATAAAGCGCTTCGTCAACTCCATTTAGTTGTATTGGCTTTGAAAAATGCGGTTCCGCGTTTGTATTTAAAAATATGGCCGCGCCATTTTTGTACTGACTGCGCTTATTTGGCAAAATCGCCGCTATTGATGATGCGATCGGCATGGTTGATACCTTCTTGAATTCCTCGATAAATGGCCATCATAATGCGTTACTAATCATCAACGTCCAATGTTATTAAGTGACCGGTCACCGGTCGCGAAATGTCGGCAATTGTTTGTATTTAAGCATATGGCCGCCATTGTATGTACCAAAATACAGGTTTGATTCTATAACATTCAAATGAGACAATCCGTAAAGCTCGGTCCGGCGAACGAGTTTTGGGTTTGATAGGACCACGATTGGAATCGGACCAATCGGGTCGGTTTCGAAAAAGTTCATCCGCGCAAGCCTCAGGTGGACAGACAAGAAGACGTAACCTGTGAAATATTCCCGTATGTTTGTGGCTTTTGTAACTCAGTTGAATAGCATTCAAATGAGGCATTTCGCAGGATTTTTTGAACCGCCAAATTCGGGGTGATTAATAAATAAATAGAGTATGTGAGATTCTTCCGTCATCAGAGGCAAGGAGACTTTGAACCCAAAAAACCCCAACCTCAGTGCCTATAAAGAAATTATTAAGCGAGATCCCCCCGACGGAGTGAGACTCGTCTCACTCGAGTGCGGGGGATGATTTTGAGCTCCGCAGGAAATTGAGGTCAACTCTATGAGGCAGACCCGACCGGCGGATCGGTTGGCAATCAAGTTTCATATTGGGTGCAGGCGAATACGCTAGAATACACTTAGGAGTTTCCTTCTTAAGCCGTTTACAGCTCTTGACTATAAGGACGTCTCGTTCCGTCAGCGCTCGATGCGATCACGTCATTAAATGACGTCACTCCCGGTCAAGGAACTACCAGTGGAACGTAGTGAACTATGAGAGCACCGAACAGGCCAACACCAACGTGAGGTCATGGGACGTCAGGTAGAAGCCTCAGCAGAGCCGGTAGAGCCGCTCCGAAAGAATACGAACCCAGAGACACGGAGTTCCGTTGCTTAGGGGCGTAAGCGGGCTGCGGGCCGACCCGATCGGCCCGACCAGACCCGCGGGTAGGATCCACAAAACTCGGTTTGGCGATCGAATTTCGAGTCGAGTAATCGGGTAGGACCACGACTCGATTCGGGCCGATCGGGTCGGATTCGGAAGAGTCTGCCCGAGCAAGCCTCCTGCGGACAGACGAAGGACATCCGCTATTATATTGATAGATAGAATGAATCCGGAGTCAAATTAACTTAAACCCTTAACACGCTGGCGATGTGTTCGTGAGAATCATTAACATTATATCTCGTTTGAACAGCCTACAATTGCATGGTCCCTCATAGATGTTTGTGTGAAGTGCTTGCCTTTTCACGTGTAGTTTGCAAGCAGAGTTGTCAATTTTGTCATAAAAACCAACATGGTGGAATATGACCATCTCGATTTGCGGTAATATGGACACATCCTTGATTCCATGGTAGCACCTCACTGACCTATTGACAATGTCAGCTTCCTTTCATGTGGGATCCTAGACCTAATGTGTAGAGTGCGGGGCACGGGAACTCAGGAATACCGTTGCCATGCACTACTTGGTCTTGTCCTTTTTTGGCCTCTTTACTTAAAAAGTGGGGAAGGCATGGCTCTCCCCCCCTTTTTGCCCCCCCGACGCCACGTCTCTGACTGAGACAGCAAAATATATGCCCATCCTCTGGATATGTGGATAGACGTACTGGGCATCCGGACAAAATATGAAGTACAGGAGGAGGCGGGGGATGAGCATATCCTTATTCACCACCTCCTGGCCACCCACTTGACGTTCTCTAGAAATTTTCTTGGCACGAAATTTGAATGCAGGTAAATATCCCTCGTACACAAGTTAAAATGTAATTTAGTGATTTTTTGCCACTATTTATGCATACATGCAAAAACTACGCAACCGTTATCCTGTAAAGTTCACTCTCGTAGTTCTTAGTGAATATTCTTAGTTCACACTCGTAGCGGATGTTCTCTTTGATGTATAGGTTGGTCACTCCTCTTACACCCACAGTCTATAGATACAGTCTCCCAATCACGTGCAATGCTACTCAGAGCCGAAAACTTTGCAATATTACTCTTCACAACTGCTAATTGAGTCAAACAATGATGTCGACTTCTTTGCTTATCGTCAAAGCAGTTATTGTCTTTCTATGTCAACTGATGAGCGTCCTTTATGTTTCAAGGCACTCAGCGTGTTTCAGGATATTTCACACGTACCTTTGGTTGCTTTTTTTTAACAAGTGGCCATATCCCCCCAACAAAAGTATTATGGCCTCTTCGGACCAACTTGGAAAGGTTCCAAATGCTCGGTTTTCATGTGTTTTGTATGCGTCTTGCTAGAATTTAGTAAAGGAGATATCAATCAATATGCTTGAAACATTGTAAAAGTCCAATTCGTCCTTGACAGGCTCTTAAGACGAGGTTTCACTTTTTAGGGTCATATTCCCCCAATTGACCCCATAGGTAAGAGAAATAAGGAGGAAGGAATGGGTTATAATCATGTGTGCTTGTGACCTTGAATATGTGCATCTGTAACAGAACATATTGATTGCCCTCGTATGACTGCACTCTTCACTTTTAGAATATTTAGACGTAACGCAGGATGAGGTTTATGCAATAGTATACCGCTTACGATGGAAAGGTTCATCCATCCTCCGGCAGCACTAAGGATTTGATGGGTGAGCGAGGTGAAGTTCCTTAGAAACATCTTGGAATTCTCAATATCCATGTCACCTTCGTCCAAGCCATCGAGAAAGAAATCAAAGAACTGTCCAAGGGAGTCAACAATATGTTCGATCTCCTCCCCAGAAAATTCTTCTTGGTCTTCTACGGCCGTGTTCAAATTTGAAAGTAAGTCCAGAGAATTTGAACTGTCCAGCTAAGATTGTTGATGAACATGAGATTGCACCGATAACAAATTCTGCGGAAGTAGATTCTATCAACCTGTGAAACTTACCGCACCAAGAAGATAGTCAATCAAATCACTTAAAGAACGACAAGAGTCTAAGGCCAATTCTAATCCATTTTCGGTGCAGTTCCAAAGCTGGTTTCCATGCTGGTCAGGAGGACAAGTCTTTCCAATCACTTCACCCTCGAAGGCTTCACCGCATCTGTGAACTGAATATATGATTTTCGTTATGCATGTAGAACAAGGACACGTTAAAGTGTCATGAAGTAATGTGAAATCCAATTTTCTATGACTTTCCCTATCTTCAACACCCCCCCCCCAACTCCCATATGTTCGGCCTAGGTCTAATCCAATAGATTACCTTCAGGTCACACCAAAGCCTACTTTTTATTTCAAAAGAAACTCAATTCTCGACTTAAAGGGGTCATTTAGGTCTATAAGGGTGAATCCGTGGTCTTCGAGACGTCTCGTTGAGGACATGTAACGTTAGGCCAATGGCAGGCCTATTCATAAGTTCATGAACAATTTAAGAGAATGTGTAAAGTTAGACCGACTTAAGGCCCGTTTCGCGTTTCACGAGCGATTTCGGTGCGGACTTGGAACGTCATGCCCATCTGGAATTCCTAGAACCATTTCGAATAGGTTCGTTTAGGGGATGCCTCCAGGAAGCATGAAATCATCGGTGCGCGCCATCCTTTTCATTCAAGGATATCAGAATATCTCCATGTCCCACCACATCGATCGATCACTGCTAACCACCGTTTCATTCTCAGCTCAACCCGGGAACTCAGCACAAAAATGTCTCATTCCTTAGGAAACAGCAGATTCACACGCCAATGGCTGAAGCTGTCAGGCGTCATGATATCCCGAACGACTGAAATGCATCTCTTTGGAAGCATTGGCTATTTTCAAAGTGTTACTTTCTCCTGGCTAGAATATGCATCCTTGGAATATATGTGTGCAATGTACGTCACTGAAGGAGGTTGACGGAAGGAAAAATCACGTCAGTAAAACATATTATTCCTTATCTTCAGTTACTGTTCGTAGTTCTTAAAAAGCACCAGCATTGGTGAAAAGAGGCTAGGCCTATCATTATGGCTGAGAGTAAATTATTCCATTGAAGTTGGACAAAGTAAACTAAATACCTGCCAGAGACATAATCTCATGAGCTCATCAATTTCTAAAATATTACAAATTGCCCCGTTTCCATGAATAGATAAATAAATGCAACGTCGTTCATAGGAAACTTTGGCTGTTCGATTACGTTTTCCTTGTCCTACCTTCGGCATTTTAGCCGAGTTCGGCAGCATTTCATGTCATTTCCCAGTTTGGTTCATATTTTTATTCATGAAAGCTTCTTTCAAGTCTCAAGTGCGAAATTATAAGTACAGGGGGAAATAAAAATGTAACATGCCCCTATTACCTAGATAGTGTATATAATCCTTTAATATGACTCCTTATATCTCTGCATTGTCGACCTTGCCTAAAGACTACCTCTTCCAGCCGATGTTGGTCCGATCTCAATTAGTGTCGTGACGGGTTTGTTCCGCCTGCGTGCGCCATTTCCTTCTCATATATTTAGAATGTTGAATTATTGCCTGGTGCCGAATGGTGACACCACTATGAAACGTGCCAGAAGACGACGTTCTGGGTAAATATTAAAAAGTGAACAGACTTGCACTAGCCTTGCTAACATGACGCTAGGGCAAAGGTTCTGGAACGGGCTCTAATGACCTTAGAAAATGAAGTTAAAATTGAACTGAGTCCAGACGACTCCACAGCCTTGAGGTCTGACGCATTCACAAAGCAATCATCCAGGTAAAATCATAGCTCTCATAAGGGATAAAAAGCGGAAATGGGATGCGTACAAGCGGACGGAAGATAGCACGGACAATGAGGAATATAGGAAGATCACGCGGACGTTGAAGCAGGAAATTAGATTTGCAAGACGGGAGGCTAGCGATGCTAAGAAGAACCTTAAGGCTTTTCATCGTATGCTAGTAGTAGGTGTCAACAGTCGATCGGGCTGCTAATGAACGAATAGAGGGAGTTGATTGCAAGTGATAATGATATGGCCAATATACCTAACAAGTTCTTCGCTTCCGTTTTTACTGTGGTATCCGACTCGGCACCGACTTCGGAGGAGGATGGAAATATCCTCGGCGCGCATCGAGGATATTTCCATCACCGAGGAGACGATCGTTAATACGATGGGGAAGTTGGCGGTGGGCAAGGCGACCGGTTCCGATGGGATTCCTGTGAGAGTCATTAAGGAAACCTCGAGAGAAATATCGGTTCCGCCAAGAATTATATTCGAAAGCAGCTTTTCGCGCGGGGAAGTACCTAAGGACTGGAGAC